CCCCCACACACACACACACACACACACAAAACCCTTTTTTTTTTCCTTTATGGTGTTAGTTCATGGGTCGCTGTTGCCCATCTCTGTGATAGTCTTCAGTGTACCTGACAGGCATGTTTTTTGGAATGCTGGACAAAAGCCACCCAAACATCGGGAACACATACATACTCCAGAGCAAGGATTGGAACACCCAACCTAATGCTCTTTAATATGACACTGTGGTGTCATGAGACTGGCGTACCTTTGAGTTGCTGGCCGAGCAGCTCCCTCTCCTGGCTGAACTGAGATTGCAGCTGCTGGAGGGCCGACTGCGACTGGGACAGCTGCAACTCCAGAGACTGCTTCAACAGAGAGATCTACAGCACACCAACATTACACTGCATGTGAATACTGGTTGCCAAAATGTGACGCGCACGCATGTGTGTGTGTGTGTGTGTGTGTGTGTGTGTGTGTTGGTTTCAGATTCTCACCACTGGATTGGCCATGTTTATTTTTTTGTCATGGTATGAGATAAATCGTAATCATGAACTGATTCATATATTGTACATTATGTGACATTGTGTGTGTGTGTGTGTGTGTGTGTGTGTGTGTGTGTGTGTGTGTGTGTGTGTGTGTGTGTGTGGGACGGGGAGATTGGATAATATTGATGGTTTGTATAAGTGCAATGTAAAAGTGACGGTTTTAAATGGTGGATTCAATCAGGAAAGTCTACACTGATGGCCGAGTGTACCAAAAATACAGCCTGCTACAACAAACATGTCATCGTGGTGATGCCAACAGTATGATAGAAGCCACTCATCTCAAAATATTGATAGGTTCTCATTGAGTGCGAAAGTACTGTGTTGTTTTGAGGAGGTACTGTGACTATTAGACGCAGTGAATGGCACGACTCTCCTCCATCCGCTGGCAGTTAAATCCCCTGCAGGATTTAGTGCAGCAGGATGGAAATGGGGAGCTGTTGGGTTAGATGGCTTTAACAAGACGAGGAAGAGGAGTGCGACTGAATGGGATTAACTGGAACTGGATAAGGCAGTAGGGATGACCACCAACGGGCAATTGTCTTGTCTGTGTTTGCTGCCATTACTACATTGTGAAAGCACAAGGGTAAGAAGTTCTGTTTTGATTGCTTTTGGTAGTTGCTTTATTAATTTTGCTGAGGTTCCAAGTGAACCTAAGATTAAGATTTTTTTTTTTTGCTGCTACTGCACTAGGGCCAAGTAGGTCAGCGATTAAGCAGCTTTGCAGATGGAACTGCAACAAGAAGATCAAATTGTCATGTTTAAGAGTGTATGGCCTTGGCTGAGGTTGTTGCAGAGATTCTTTAACATCCTCAAGGAACAGATGTCTAAAACCCAGAACAGTAAAAACCTGCATTTGACTGAACCTTCGGGACATAACATAAGTACTGTATATATATTTTGGCTTGCTGCAAAGATTTTTTTCGTTTCTAAAATGTCAAATTTACGATCAGTGCATCATGATCAGGAACAATATCAATAAAATGAGGTGAGTTAATTTAAAAGTTATGTTGTGGCGGGACATATTGTCCCACTCCAGTAGGTCGAAGTAATATACATTATTATAATTACAGATAGGGCGGCCCAGTAGTCCAGTGGTTAGCACGTCGACTTCACAGTGCAGAGGTACCGGGTTCAATTCCAGCTCCGGCCTCCCTGTGTGGACTTTGTATGTTCTCCCCGGGCCTGCGTGGGTTTTCTCCGGGTGCGCCGGTTTCCTCCCACATTCCAAAAAAACATGCATGGCAGGCTGATTGAACACACTAAATTGTCCCTAGGTGTGAGTGTGAGTGTGAGCGTGCATGGTTGTTCGTCTCTGTGTGCCCTGCGATTGACTGGCGACCGGTTCAGGGTGTCCCCCGCCTACTGCCCGAAGACACCTGGGATAGGCTCCAGCACCCCCCGCGACCCTTGTGAGGATAAGTGGATCGGAAAATGGATGGATGGATGGATAATTACAGATTATTTGTACCACAAGTCAATTGAAGTTTATGTTTATTGTTGCAGTAGTGTAGAACTGCACTGCATCATATTCAAGGACATTTATCATTTTCTGGGTGCATTATTTTGCTATTTGAGGCATCACAATGAGTAGAATAAATTTTGATTGAATTATTAAATTGTGCAGGAGTATCCAATACTGGGAGTATAGATTTTGTAAAAAATATTTTAAAACCTGACTGCAGCTGCCATCAGTAGAGGCTGCCTACAATTTGCCACAAAGTGTTTACATCTGAGGCCATGGGTGTCTTGGCAGAAATCACGAAGAGTCACTCTTGGCACTTCCGGTTTGTGACTCTGCAGAGTGCTGACTTAGTCAGAGGCGGGGACGCTCAACATTCGGAGCGACTCGAGCAGTGCCTGCTTCCATAACTTGGTCGCAAATTAAGGTTTTTGCTTGTGATTACGGCTACAATGAGGCGTATAGTGTTGCTTATGGGTAAGCAGAGTGGCGGTGATTACGCTGTTTTCTCGACTGCTGCTGGCAAAAAACATTAAAAAACATAAAGAGCAGAGGGAGTTCATTTACAGTTGTAGGGGGAATGATGTAGATTGCGCAAAACAGGCAAAAGTTGTTCAGAGCACCACTGTCAAACACATTTGGCCATGCACCAAAGTCGCTGCGAGAAGGAACTTGCCATACAGTTGGAGTTGTGGACATCAATTGCTGGGCAGATCAGTCAATTAAAGTGGTGGAGGTGATCGCAAACAGCTAAAGGTCACGTCGTGCTAGCGGATGTTGATTTACTTGGCATCACTTTTGAATATTCAACTTTACATATATATACATATATATACATATACATATACATACATACATGCATGCATACATACATACATACATACATACATACATACGTGTGTGTGTATGTGTGTGTGTATAAATAAAGAGTTTTATAAATATGAAAGTTCTGTTTGATTGTTCACAATGTGAAATTCTATCGAGTGGGCGCTCTGGAGCTTCCAACATAAGATAGCTGAATGAATGAAAGCAAAATAGGAAGGTTTGGTAGGAGCACCTCCTGTTTAAATAATTAAAAAAAACCCTAATCTCTGATATAAAAAAAAAAAAAGCCACATAACATCCATTCAGCCATTTTCCGAACTGCTTTATCCTCAAAAGGGTTGCGGGGCGTGCTGGAGTCAATCCCAGCCGTTTTCGGGCAGTAGGCAGGGACAGCTTGAACCGGTTGCCAGCCAATCACAGGGCACGCAGAGACGAACAACTATCTGCACTCACACTCACACCTAGGGACAATTTCGAGTGTTCAATCAGCCTGCCATGCATGTTTTTAGAATGTGGGAGGAAACGTAGTACCCGGAGAAAACCCACACAGGCACGAGGACAACATATAAACTCTGCACAGGAAGGCTGGAGCCGGAATCGAATCCACGACCTCTGTACTGTGTGGTCTACGCGCTAACCACTGGACCACCGGGCCGCCCGCCACATAACACAAAACATAAATACTTTTCCATACGATTTCCATTTTCTCTACTTTTCCAGCCCTACAAATTCACAATATTAAAATCCACAATTTACCAATCTTATATTGGAACCCTGTAAAGCTCTTCAACAAATAAAGGACGGTTACGAGCGATAGATTCGTTCAGAGCTTCATGTAGTCCGTGCTAGCCCACACTCTGACTCTATGTATAAATATTTTGTGACATCACTGAACAGCTAACTAGCCATGACATAGCATGACATTTGGAGTTTCACCTGTTCGAGCAGGTCCTCCACCTTCCTCTGCCAGCCTTCCCTGGCGGCCATCATTTCCAGCTCCTTCTGCTGGGACAGTTGAGTCAAGGCTGCCTGCTTGTCAGCATCGTATTCCTCGCTCAGCTCCTCCCTCAACAACCGCACTTCTTCACTAAAGAGGGAAGCACATTATTTTTTAATTTGTCCCTTATGGTTCGAAAAATATGGTAAGTCTCTAGTACTTTGATAGTCGTTCTTTGACCTCTGTACAACAGACTGATGACAAAGAGGCTCTAATGAAGAAAGGGAGCCTTTGTGTCCATTTATTTATTTACCGAAGTGCTTCTCTCCATTTTTGTTCCAGGTTGTCGGCCATCTTGTCCATCTTCTGCTTCTCCTCGGTTCGGATGGACATCACTCGGGCTTCATGCTGCTGTTTCTGGGTCTCAATCTCCTCCTACAAGCACAGAGTTGGTGTTTATGTACACATCAAATCAACATTGCGGTTTTGTTGCTGTACTGCTGTTCTACAGTGCGCTCACGCTCCCTGTCCCCTTCTCTCCATTAGCAGGGTTCTCAGCGCATAATGGCTCCATCAACATTAGCTCACAAATGTCTCAGCACTTACTGCTTTGCAAATGTTCATTTCTTGCTTTCAAAAATTTTCTGCGTCATCATCTTCACTTTCGTCTGCAGCTTTAATTCTCCATGACGTGCCGGGCTTAAATCACTCGTCCTGCTCACCTGCAGATCTGTTAGCAGGTTGCTAGTCTCGCGAACCCGAGCTCTGGTGGCGTCCAGCTCTATCTTGAGCTTCTCCTGTGTTTCTTTCAAGCAGGTGATCTGGTTCTGTGCTGAGCTCACATTCTGGTCTGGAGTGGCGGTGATTACGCTGTTTTCTCGACTGCTGCTGGCAAAAAACATTAAAAAACATAAAGAGCAGAGGGAGTTCATTTACAGTTGTAGGGGGAATGATGTAGATTGCGCAAAACAGGCAAAAGTTGTTCAGAGCACCACTGTCAAACACATTTGGCCATGCACCAAAGTCGCTGCGAGAAGGAACTTGCCATACAGTTGGAGTTGTGGACATCAATTGCTGGGCAGATCAGTCAATTAAAGTGGTGGAGGTGATCGCAAACAGCTAAAGGTCACGTCGTGCTAGCGGATGTTGATTTACTTGGCATCACTTTTGAATATTCAACTTTACATATATATACATATATATACATATACATATACATACATACATGCATGCATACATACATACATACATACATACATACATACATACATACATACATACATACATACATACATACATACATACATACATACATACATACATACATACATACATACATACATACATACATACATACATACATACATACATACATACATACATACATACATACATACGTGTGTGTGTATGTGTGTGTGTATAAATAAAGAGTTTTATAAATATGAAAGTTCTGTTTGATTGTTCACAATGTGAAATTCTATCGAGTGGGCGCTCTGGAGCTTCCAACATAAGATAGCTGAATGAATGAAAGCAAAATAGGAAGGTTTGGTAGGAGCACCTCCTGTTTAAATAATTAAAAAAAACCCTAATCTCTGATATAAAAAAAAAAAAAGCCACATAACATCCATTCAGCCATTTTCCGAACTGCTTTATCCTCAAAAGGGTTGCGGGGCGTGCTGGAGTCAATCCCAGCCGTTTTCGGGCAGTAGGCAGGGACAGCCTGAACCGGTTGCCAGCCAATCACAGGGCACGCAGAGACGAACAACTATCTGCACTCACACTCACACCTAGGGACAATTTCGAGTGTTCAATCAGCCTGCCATGCATGTTTTTAGAATGTGGGAGGAAACGTAGTACCCGGAGAAAACCCACACAGGCACGAGGACAACATATAAACTCTGCACAGGAAGGCTGGAGCCGGAATCGAATCCACGACCTCTGTACTGTGTGGTCTACGCGCTAACCACTGGACCACCGGGCCGCCCGCCACATAACACAAAACATAAATACTTTTCCATACGATTTCCATTTTCTCTACTTTTCCAGCCCTACAAATTCACAATATTAAAATCCACAATTTACCAATCTTATATTGGAACCCTGTAAAGCTCTTCAACAAATAAAGGACGGTTACGAGCGATAGATTCGTTCAGAGCTTCATGTAGTCCGTGCTAGCCCACACTCGACTCTATGTATAAATATTTTGTGACATCACTGAACAGCTAACTAGCCATGACATAGCATGACATTTGGAGTTTCACCTGTTCGAGCAGGTCCTCCACCTTCCTCTGCCAGCCTTCCCTGGCGGCCATCATTTCCAGCTCCTTCTGCTGGGACAGTTGAGTCAAGGCTGCCTGCTTGTCAGCATCGTATTCCTCGCTCAGCTCCTCCCTCAACAACCGCACTTCTTCACTAAAGAGGGAAGCACATTATTTTTTAATTTGTCCCTTATGGTTCGAAAAATATGGTAAGTCTCTAGTACTTTGATAGTCGTTCTTTGACCTCTGTACAACAGACTGATGACAAAGAGGCTCTAATGAAGAAAGGGAGCCTTTGTGTCCATTTATTTATTTACCGAAGTGCTTCTCTCCATTTTTGTTCCAGGTTGTCGGCCATCTTGTCCATCTTCTGCTTCTCCTCGGTTCGGATGGACATCACTCGGGCTTCATGCTGCTGTTTCTGGGTCTCAATCTCCTCCTACAAGCACAGAGTTGGTGTTTATGTACACATCAAATCAACATTGCGGTTTTGTTGCTGTACTGCTGTTCTACAGTGCGCTCACGCTCCCTGTCCCCTTCTCTCCATTAGCAGGGTTCTCAGCGCATAATGGCTCCATCAACATTAGCTCACAAATGTCTCAGCACTTACTGCTTTGCAAATGTTCATTTCTTGCTTTCAAAAATTTTCTGCGTCATCATCTTCACTTTCGTCTGCAGCTTTAATTCTCCATGACGTGCCGGGCTTAAATCACTCGTCCTGCTCACCTGCAGATCTGTTAGCAGGTTGCTAGTCTCGCGAACCCGAGCTCTGGTGGCGTCCAGCTCTATCTTGAGCTTCTCCTGTGTTTCTTTCAAGCAGGTGATCTGGTTCTGTGCTGAGCTCACATTCTGGTCTCGCTCCCTCATCAGCTCCTGGAGGTGGGACACCTGCAATGGTGGCAGTTAACAGAGTACAAAAACAATTATTACTGCACTTAGGTGGATTTTTCAGATGCATGTACTCTGTGTATTTATTCTTCTGGACTCAACATGCCCTCCTCAACATGAAAACAAATATTGCTATTTTCTACTACTTCCTTTGACAAAATAGGCATGTTACTTTTTTCAGTCTCTGCAGATGATGACACAATGTAAAAACTAGTAAATAGAAAAAGGTCAAGTCAAACATGGTTGAAATCCAGGGTTGTAATAGTTTTGGATTTTCTTATTATCGTCAGTTTTCATTTCGTTTGAACTTTTTTACTTAACTGAATAAGAAAGCGTAACTATTTTCTGATTGGTCTATAAGATAATTGTATGAATGACTGGGAAAAAAAATTTGTTCACTTTTGTACATCAGAACTTTTATGCAGTTAAATGAGTTGAATCAACACTTGAGGAATCCACCCAAAAAAGGAAGTTGAATTCTTCAGATTCGTACCTCTTGATTGGCCATGTTGAGCTTGGCAGAGAGCTCCTCTTTCAAGTTGTCCAGTTGCTGCTGCACTCGGTCTCGCTGCTCCTCCAGAGACAGGCGTTTTATCTCAAACTCCTGACTCATTTTCTGGGGAGGAGATTCAGAGCAAGAAGAGACTCCGCAGATGAAGTGTTTACACTTGAAAGAAGCAGATCTAAAATGGGAGGACTGTGTGGGGATTCTGGGCACAGGGGGTGGAAGAAAAATGGGAAAAGAGGATTGGAAGTTTTGTCGTTATTTTTTTTTTTGTTGTTGATTCCATCAGAGTGGTGGTTTGCTTTGCAATTTATTTCGTTTTGTTCTTTAGTCTTTTGTCATAAAAATGAGTACAATCATTACTAGAGGAGCAATGAATCAAAATTCTTGCATGTTTATTTGATGGATAGGGCAAAAAAAAAAAAAAAAAAAAAAGCTAAACTCGTTTTAAAAACTGGTGGGGGTTTTCACGCTCGCTTTGTTGACTTATTTCAAGGAGTCTTGCCAATTTAAATTTTCTTGTTCTATTGGCAAACAAAAGTGGTCAACAAGGTTTTGCTAAATGTTTTAATCAGAGATGCAAATACATTTTTAAAGATTTTTTTGTGCTGATTGTGAATCTGTCCTTGTTTTTTCTCAAGCACATCAGGTTTTCATAACAATAATAATAATAACAAAAACAACAATGCTGATGGTGATAATAATTAATAATAATAATAATAATAATAATAATGTATGTACTATAGTAATATATTTACTGGTAGTCATATTTATGAATTAAGGGCTCGGGTGAGCAACAGATTTTTTTTCTGAAACGTCAAAATCCGTAATGTGGAAGCTTTTGCGACTCAAATTTAAAAACAAAAATCTAATTATATGAAAAACTTAATACACTAGAAAAAAAGATATATCTTTTTAAATAGCATCAAAAAGACATCTGGGGACACATAAACCCATCTCTGACTAAAACTTGATGTTGACGTGTGTATAGTTGCTTCAATTAAGTCACATATGATTCATTCCATTATGTTTTTCTTGCGATTTTAAGATTCGATTTTGATTTTGCAGTATGTCACCATTCGCTCTTTACCAGTTTATGTGCCACTAGCCAGCTTCATGATGTCCAAGGATGACAGTTCTTCTTTTTCATATTTGGTCACAAAATATCTTCAATTAAATACACGGGCAGTAGGTTTTCTGTATGCTGATCACAAATCCTTTCTCTTTTCGGAGGATGAAAGCTTTAACAATCTGCATGACAGGTGGTGTTAGCCTAATCCGACAGAGAGCACACATCAACATTCACATGGCAGATTCAGTTCTCCTCAAGGACCAGTGAATGATTCGACACGGCCAATAAAGCTGCCACCTGCAGGCGGATCCAAGAAATTCTGCTGCAGTCTCAATGGGGCTTCGGTGAACTGGATTTGGAATTAATAGAGCATGAGAAATTAGTAGGATTGCGTTCGAAACTTTTTAATATCTTGCTAGCAAGGATTCAAAGTTTCTGGCCGATCAAATCCCCGCTTTATTAATGACCACTTCTACATGGTCTCCATCTCTGCCCTCCTCCAGCCCCTTTTATTTGTGTCGGGAAAAAAAAACCAGGCATCCACCTAAAGATGACAAGGCACAGCCTATATGAATGATTTTTCACATCCACTGTCTCCATTCATCCTGTCCCTCTCTCCAATTCTTTCAGGAAATCTTTCATCTGACGCCCACACGCTTGCACAATGCTCGCAGGCAGGATTTAATATCTGTGGAAAATCCACCAATATGCAGTCAGCTCCAATCAGCCTTTGAAGCCAAAAAGTGGAGAGAAGGGCGCATAATACTAAAAAGATAAATCCCCTCTGAAGTCTAATGGTTTGTGTATATGAAGGTGAGCTGGTTTTCTGCAGGTAACAACACTGACAGCGCTACGCGGCGCGCAAGCAAAGCAAACTCATGCGGCAAACCTGCCAACAGTCCTGCAAACGAACGTGCGGGTACACAATGCGCGTATTTGCGTTTAAAAAAACGGAGGGTGAGCATGGGGTTCTTTGGCCTAATTAAAACTGCGCAGTCCCAAGTAGGGGGTGTGCCTTTCTTAGCCGTACATTACTCTCAAACAAGGTTTTGCTGAAGGGCAAACATTAATTGCTGATGTTCCTGAACAGCTGAGAGAGATGGAAAAGCCCGCGGCTGCTGGTCTTAATTACTTCGTATGAAAGTTGGTACCTGCCAGATTTCATCACCATCACCCAGCGATGGGATCAATTCACGCATGTGCAAGTCTCAAGATTAATCTCCAAATTGAGTCACCTTGCAATTACCGGAAGTATCTGGTTTTCTTAACCCTGTTCCTTTTCCAAACACACAGCTTATGTTCCAGACCACAACTAGACTGTTCTCTGGTTGCCTTAAAAGGTATTTCGCCTCTCATCATTTCATTTTCGTTGTGTTTTGTTTAAATTTATAGTGGACTGATTTCAGAGTTTCTGGCTTTCTTTGCTTGAGAGTATCGACACTTTTTGTTTTGCATCTTCACTGGCAGCATGTTTACAACTGCCCCGTTTTTATTGACCGGAGATTATGGGCACTATTAGATTCTCTGCACTTGTTTAAGATGCTACATCTACAACCATGTGGAGGTTCACCAACATGGAGGAAGAGATATGGCGAGAGATAAGAGCAGGCGCTAAAATATAGTTAAAAAAAAAGCATGAGAGATGACTGAAGGGAACAGTAAAATTGAAACAACGCTGTACAGTATGTGTGTTCCTCGCCAACAGACAATATTCAGCTGTTAATAAAACGACAGTTACTTTTTTTGCAGACGGCTGTGATGTGCAGGACTGGCCCATAAATACACTGGACGTTGGGGAAAATTAACATATTTTCCTGAAATGGCCACACCGCACCTGGCCGCCAACAGAAGTGAAGTCAGTTCCAACTATAAATGCTTTTATATCCAGGTTAAAAACCACACTTTTCCATATTTCTTTGATAAAGGTCTTTCAAGCATTTTAAAAATCGATTTCCCTTATCGGTCTTTTTCGTAATTTCAGAAAGCTACTTTTTATTTCTGTCCTTCACTTTTAAATGTCTTTAAATCTTTTGTTTGTAAATGCATTTTAACATGGTCGATGTATGTTCTTTTTGGAATTTTACGAAGCCACTTTTGCTCTCATGCCTTTGAATGCTGTTGCATTTTGGAAATGCTTTTAGGTGTTGCGCTTTCAGTTGTGTGAAGCACACTGCATTCCCTAGTGGATGAAACGTCCGATCTAAGTAAAGTTGCATTGTCTTGCCTTACGTGTAGCACTTTTGTACAACTGCGGTTGTTGTAAAGTCGCGGTGACTCCAGTCCCCGTCTGTAGCATCAGCGGACTCACCATCATAAGAAGCTTCTTCTCTTCCTCTTTCTCCTGTTGAGCCTCCTCCCTCATGGCTCGGTGTTTCTCCTCCATTTCCTCCAACGCCCGGACCTGTGCCTCCTTGTAGCGACGCGTCTCCTCCTCATAGTGAGCTCTTAGTATGGAGAGCTCCTTCTCGTAGCCCTGGTGCTCCTCACGCAGAGACTGAAGGGAAGAGGAAGCTGTTGATATGACCAAAGGAGCTTGCACTCCCACCCTCTACTTCTTAAGATTTGAAAAAGCACCTGCTCCAGTTTCAGCACTTGCTGTTTGTGCTGCTCGCTGGCCACCTGGTTCTGGTTAAGCAGGGCCTCCCTCTCCTGCTCCAGCCTGCCAATCTTCTCCTTCAGCCGACTCTGCTCTTGGTCCAGGTTCTTTATGGATGCCTCGTGGGCCATCTGGGTGGCTTGTAGGGAGCCAATCTGACCTGGGAACCATCAAAACAAGCAAATTTACAACTACCGCTGTATATTCGTGACATTTCAGAAGACGGTTTATTGGTAAAAGCCCCACAAAATTAGGTACAACTGCAAAATCTAATGATATCCACCTGTCCGTCCATTTTCAATACTTCTCATTTGGGTCGCGGGTAAGTGGAATATCTTTGAGCTGACTTTGGGTGCGACATCTTGGACTGATGACGAATGAGATCCAATATTTTTACAGTGGTTCCATGAGATACGAGTGGCCCGACTTACAAGTTTGTCAAATTACAGACTGTCATTGCTGTAAATTTTTTTTTTTTTTGCTTTGACTTACATTTGTACATAATGAACTCAACTCAAGTAACTTACCAGCAAGCAGCAGGTTGGCAAATAGTGAATCATTCTTAAAAAAAAAAAGAAAATGATAAAAAAATAAAGAAAAAAAACATGCCCAGTTTAAATTACTGTCAAACGAAACATAAAACAACTATCAGTGCATATTGTTATCGTATATTTCAAGCAACTACGTAACAAAAACAGTGTCTGTTGATGACAGAAACTTTTTGAGAGCTTTAAAGAAAGAAGCAAATCCAACTGCTAGTGACATCAGCAACAACCTCCATAGGGAAAGACTGAAGGTCATGAACATAAACAAAAGCACAGATTCTACATCTCTGAAAGAACAGCATGCTGGAATTTGTACACAAATGAGCTTCAACAATTCTGGGGCATAATTTTATGAAATGATGAGAAAAAAGTGAACCTTTACCAAAGTGATGGAAAAGCCTAAAACTTTGAGAAAGAAAGGACGTGCTTAGGATCCCGAAAATACAAGCTAATGTGTGAAACTCACTACAGTGGAAGTCCTGCCAAGGCTTGGGTTTGGTGCTGCCACACTAATCTTCATTGATGATGTAAGACGACGCAAGATAATAACCCAAACCGGAGAGTCAAACACCAAAGGAAGATGATGCGAGCGCTCAGAACACATGCTCGCTCTCTTTTTCTCCATCTCTCTCTCTCACTGCAATGCTGATTTAATTTCGATTATTTCCCACCTATTTGTACCTCAAGACTGTATGTCAAAATGTGTAAAAAGCAAACACGACAAAGTGAGCTAGCCGAAAACATTTGTATCAACAACAGCATTTTATGTAAACGTAGCTCTTGTGTTGAAAAAAATGCATTCAGTGAGTGTGTGTGCTTCGGGCAGGTGGCTCACTAGCTTTGTGGAGGATTTCCGTTGCTTGCTGCTGCACTCGTTCCCTGCAGCCCTCCAGCTCATACTCGGTGTCTTTCAGCTGCATCACCCAAATTTCACCATCCTGGATGGCTTCTTCCAGCTGCTTGTGCAGGTTCTGCAGCACACAGTGGATGAAAAATTGAAGGCTTCAGCCAGCTCCTCCTCGTCCCAGGTTGCTTGTATTCCTTTGCCTGGTTGCCTTCAGTCTATGTCAATTTATTGTCAGTTCTGCTGTTAGTCACGTCGATCGAGTCATGTTACAATTCCTTTGTTGTGAGTGCATTTCTTTGTAACTCCACGTTTTGGACTGATTTTGAGTGTTTTGATTCAAGTACATAACTTGTTTGCCTTTTTTTCCCATTATTGAAAAGTATACTCAAAATCCTCTTTTGAGACTTCTGTACTCCTCCTGCCTTGTTTCCTTGTTTCCCTGCATTTGCCAACAGCAACACCTCAATTACCCAATCCTGACACTAGTTTTAAGCATTCCATAATCTCTTTTCTGACGGTCCCATGATGCACCTCTTGTTGTAGCAGGCATTAAAATGAACAAGTAACTCAGGAAAACAAGGGGGGCTACTATTTTTTTTTCCATGACTGCACATTGAATATACAGCACAATGATGGAAAAAAAACCCCAAAACATCTGCACATGAAAGTTTTCCTCTTGATTTACTTACATAGTGCTCATGCACTACTTTTTCTAAACTAAGAGAGTTCGCGATGGCTTGACTTTAATGCCTACAATACAATGTGTTGTCAGTTACATGACGTGCCGACATCAAACAACTCCTTTAAATAAGGTCATGGATGGCAAATATTGCTCTCTGAATTTGTTGCTGTCATCATTAATGCTCCCGTGCTCATGTTCTTCCATGTTGTTGCTGTCCCAGGATTTTGTTCCCTTAAATCTACCAAGAACTCACTCACTCAGTCTGACTTTACCTCGCTCTACTTCCATCTTTTTTTACGTCATTTCGCCATCCACAGAGGCCAAAGAAAGAAACAAGTATATTTTGGCAAAATTAAGAGTAGAAAGTACAGATATCCGTTTTCAAAAGTAGGGGTTAAAATTCAAAAGGGATCAGAAAAATAGCCACTCAAGTGCAGATACCTCGAAAATCTTGTATTTGTGCTTTACTGCTTCCCACTACTGCGATTATGTATTCATTCTTCACCTTGATGGTTCCCTCAGCATTAACCAGTGACGTCTGCAGTCTGTTGGTCTTGTCCCGGTTCTCTCGCGCCTCCTCCTGGGCCCTCTGAAGCTCATTCCTCAGCTTTGAGAGTGAGCGCTGCAGTGCCGCCTCCTGCGCCTGGAACTCTTTTCGAAGCTCAACCTGAGAACACGCAGGTGATTACGGTCAGATTCGGACTGTCGGGACAAGGTGCTGCATGTGTGTTGTGGAAGGGGGCGCGTGTGGTTCTACCTCGGTCCTTTTCCAGGCGAGCAGGTTTTCGGTGGTGAGCTGGTGCGTCCTGGTCATGGCCTCCAGCTCCCGCTCGTAGTACTCCTGAGCCTTGGCCAGTTTGGCCTCGTACTCCTCAACCACCCGAACCTTGTCCTTTGTCAGCTCTTCCACCCTCTCCATTAAAGACTCCACCTGTGTGATAAAGAAAAAAAAAAGACAACTTTTGTTTTTTTTTTTAAATCTCAAATTTAAACCCTCACGACTGCCAAAACACACAGTTGAACAATGAAGGGCTGAACGATTTTAAAAAGGGAGTGTGCTGTAATTTTTTTCTCCCCACAATATTGCGATTGCTATATTAAATATGCAATTTTTTCCTAGGTGCTGTTCCCATGTATTTTATTAACAACCCGAACAATAAACTAATCTGCATTAGAAGAAAAAACATATCAGATTTATTAGGCATAAATGCTCTGGTTTTATATGTTAGGTTTAGGTTAAAATAAAGACAAATGAACCATGAATTAATTTGACAGATGTTCTATTTGTCGACTTAGAAAGTTATTAAACACTTTGACTTGCAGTCTTTTAAGCGTTCGCTACGACAAATTCACAAAATTCTACCAGGCAAGTGTGGTGTAAATACTGTCTTAGTATGTCCTAAATCAGATTGTAAGAGTAATGCAAACAAATCTGTGGCTTTATCACTTGATAGGAAAGAAAAAAATGTGAGTCAAAGAGCGGGATGACGTGCAACAATTCACATCTGCACAACAACAAAACCCCTATGCTTGTTTAAAGAATAAATCAAGACACCAAAACAGCAATTACCCCGTTAAGTAACTTGCCGCATAAACTGTCTCCAAAAGGCAAAGTTAGTGAGCGTCAACCTCTTCTCTCTTCTTTTCTGTCCCACCTCTTGTCTATGGAGCTCAGCCAATTTCTCCTGGTCTTCGGTGGAAGTGGCGCTCTGGTTCTGCTGGTTGTTTAGCAGTTCCTCCACCTCATGGCGGTGGTTGGACCTCAGCTCCTCCAGCGCTCGCCGCTTATCCGCCTCAAACTGGGCCTGAGCCTGGCTGAATGCCCGCAGCTTCTCCTCAAAATCCCGACGCATCTCCTCCACCTAGTAGGATCACGGAAAATATTCTATTCTATTTGGTGGCGTGCGAGCTGTGCCGAGCCCAACTCCCGCAGTCGTTCACTCCAAATTTACAACATCTTTAACCGTTAATATCTTGACATAAGCCGGCATGAACAAATCCTTGCACTTTCTCTGCACCCCCTGATACAAGAAACCTGACACATAGACGAATCACACAGACATGAGGTTGAAAAAGTAAAGAAAAAAATGCAACGTGAGGTGTCATGTTATGGATCTGAGTTCGATCCTAGATCCAAAGAGGGAAATGAGGGACTGCCTGCTGCTTTTAGATAATATCACAAAAAGCATGATATGGATGATTGCGTGGTGTGACGTGGTATGATATACGAAATTGTTTTTTATGTTTTTGCTGAGACGCTGTTTTGTTTTGCTTTTTTTTTTTTTTTTTTAGTGTGTGAAGTTGACTGAGCAATGACTCTTCTCACAAGTAGCTGTCAACAACTGGATGTATCGCATAATGTAAGTAAAAGACCAGTTTCGGTACACTGTACTACATTAATGTCCTTGTAATGTGCCAAGTGCGTCAATGGGTGCACTTTTAGCCATAGCAAATTTTGCACAAAAGTGCAATCCTTAACCTCCTGACTACCAGGAAAAAAAATGTTGTCCAATCACATTTATTTTGACATTCCCCAATCTATGTGAAGTAATTGGACTCCTCCAAAAGAAATTTTTGAAATCCCACTACATTTTTTAAACAGGCTCAAATACACTTAAAACAACTCAAACAACACTTTAACGTGTTCATAAGAGTCTTATAATTAAAATGCCAACAGCATTTCAAGACAAAATGTGGTCGATA